CTCTCTCTCACAGTCTCTCTCACAGTCTCTCTCTCTCTCTCCACAGTCTCTCTCACAGTCTCTCTCACGGTCTCTCTCACGTCTCTCTCACAGTCTCTCTCACAGTCTCTCTCACAGTCTCTCTCACGGTCTCTCTCACAGTCTCTCTCACAGTCTCTCTCACAGTCTCTCTCACAGTCTCTCTCACTCTCTCACAGTCTCTCTCACAGTCTCTCTCACGGTCTCTCTCACAGTCTCTCTCACACTCTCTCTCTCACAGTCTCTCTCACAGTCTCTCTCACAGTCTCTCTCACAGTCTCTCTCTCTACAGTCTCTCTCACAGTCTCTCTCACAGTCTCTCTCTCACGTCTCTCTCACAGTCTCTCTCACAGTCTCTCTCACAGTCTCTCTCTCACGGTCTCTCTCACAGTCTCTCTCTCACAGTCTCTCTCACAGTCTCTCTCCAGTCTCTCACAGTCTCTCTCTCACAGTCTCTCTCACAGTCTCTCTCACGTCTCTCACAGTCTCTCTCACAGTCTCTCTCACAGTCACGTCTCTCTCACAGTCTCTCTCACAGTCTCTCTCACAGTCTCTCTCACAGTCTCTCTCACAGTCTCACGGTCTCACAGTCTCTCTCTCACAGTCTCTCTCACAGGTCTCTCTCACTCTCTCTCTCTCACAGGTCTCTCTCAGTCAGGTCTCTCTCACAGTCTCTCTACAGTCGGTCTCTCTCACAGTCAGTCTCTCTCTCACAGTCTCTCTCACAGACTCTCTCACAGTCTCTCTCACAGTCTCTCACAGTCTCTCTCACACACTCTCTCTCACAGGTCTCTCTCACAGTCTCTCTCACAGTCTCTCTCACAGTCTCTCTCACAGTCTCTCTCACAGTCTCTCTCACAGTCTCTCTCACAGTCTCTCTCACAGTCTCTCACAGTCTCTCTCACAGTCTCTCTCACAGTCTCTCTCACAGTCTCTCTCACAGTCTCTCTCTCCACAGTCTCTCTCACAGTCTCTCTCACAGTCTCTCTCACAGTCTCTCTCACAGTCTCTCTCACAGTCTCTCTCACACAGTCTCTCTCACAGGTCTCTCTCACAGTCTCTCTCTCACAAACGGTCTCTCTCACAGTCTCTCTCACAGTCTCTCTCACACAGTCTCTCTCACAGTCTCTCTCATCCCGAGGAGAGGCTGAGAGGGGGAGGGAGGAGAGGGGGGAAGAGGGGGAGAGGGAGAGAGGGGGAGAGGGGGAGGAGGAGAGGGAAGAGGTAGACCCAGGACTGAGGCTGTCGACCTCTGGACTGAGGCTGTAGACCCAGGACTGATGCTGTAGATCCAGGACTGAGGCTATAGACCCTGACTGAGTGCCGTAGACCAGGACTGAGGCTGTAGACCAGGACTCGGACTGCGTGCTGTAGACCCAGGACTGAGGGCTGTAGACCCAGATGAGGCGTAGACCTGGACTGAGGCTGTAGACCCTAGGACTGTGGCTCGTAGACCTAGGTCTCTCTCCCCTGGACGAGCTGGCTCTGGCTGGTGGGTGGGTTCACGGTTTGACTCCAGATGTGTCTGCTCTCTCTGGTCTCTCTACTGGGGATTGGGGTGAGCTCTCTCTCTGGTCTCTCTCGAGCGGGTCTCTCTCTAGTGTCTCTCTTGGTTCTGGTGTTTCTCTCTCTCTGGTCTTTTCTCTCCTCTGGTTGTCTCTTCTCCTCTCTCTGGTCTCCTCTCACTCTCCGTCTCCTCTCTGGTCTCTCTCTCTCCTTGCGTGTCTCCCTCTCTTAACTCTCTGGTCTCTATCTCTCTCCCTGGTCTCTCTCTCTAATCTATGTCGTTGGTAGCTCTCTGTCTCTTCCTTGGTCTCTCTCTCTCTCTTGTGTCTCTCTCTCTTGGTCTGGTCTCTCTCTCTCTCTCTGGTGTCTCTTCTCTCTCTCTTCTGGTCTCTCTCTCTCTCTGGTGTCTCTCTCTCCTATGGGTCTCTCTCTCTCTCTCTCTCTCTCGGGTGTCTCTCTCTCTCTGGTCGCTCCTCTCTCTCGGGGGCGGCGTCGAGTCTCTCTGGTGTCTCTCTCTCTTGGTCTCTCTCTCTCTCTGGTCTCTCCCTCTCTCTTGGTGTCTCTCTCTATCTGGTCTCTCTCTCTCTGGTCTCTCTTGGCCTCTCCTGGTCTCTCTATCTCTCTTGGTGTCTCTCTCTCTCTCTGTGTCTCTCTCTGGTATCTCTCTCTGGTCTCTCTCTCGCTCTCTCTGGTGTCTCTCTCCTCTCTCGGTCTTCTCTCTCTCTCTTCCTCTCTCTGGTCTCTCTCTCTCCTTGGTGTCTCTCTCTCTCTTGGTCTCTTCTCTGTCTCTGGTCTCTCTCTCTTTGGTGTTTCTCTCTCTCTCTGGTCTCTCTCTTTCTCTCTCTGGTCTCTCTCTCTCTCTCTCTCTCTCTGGTCTCTCTCTCTCTCTCTGGGTGTCTCTCTCTCTCTCTGGTTTGTCTCTCTCTCTGGTCGCTCTCTCTCTCTCTCTCTCTGGTCTCTCTCTGGTATCTCTCTCTGGTCTTCTCTCTGGTGTCTCTCTCTCTGGTCTCTCTCTCTCTCTCTCTGGTATCTCTCTCTGGTCTCTCCTCTCTCTGGTGTCTCTCTCTCTCTGGTCTCTCCTCTCTCTCTCTGGTATCTCTCTCTGGTCTCTCCCTCTCTCTGGTGTCTCTCTCCTCTCTGGTCTCTCTCTCTCTCTTCTCTCTGGTCTCTCTCTCTCTTGGTGTCTCTCTCTCTCTCTGGTGTCTCTCTCTCTCTGGTCTTTCTCTCTCTCTCTATCTCTGGTCTCTCTCTCTGTCTCTGGTCTCTCTCTCTCTCTGGTGTCTCTCTCTCTCTGGTCTCTCTCTCTCTCTCTCTGGTGTCTCTCTCTCTCTCTCTCTGGTCTCTCTCTCTCTCTGGTCTCTCTCTCTCTCTGGTGTCTCTCTCTCTCTCTCTGGTGTCTCTCTCTCTCTCTCTGGTCTCTCTCTCTCTCTCTGGATTGAGATTAAGACACAAACATTTCCTGAGCTGGAGGAGTTGGAGCTAAACTTCAAAACTTCCTCCTTGAGCACTTCCCTACTGGCCTTCATTGTGCTAGCGGGTTAGCGTAGCCCGTCTATTCACGGTCGTTCCCAACTCTCCCCAAGTTTTTGACACTTTTGACACATGGTAAAAAAACTTTATATTTCACTGTTTTGACGTTTTCTGCTGCGGCTTGTCCCTCTCAGGCTTCCATACCTGTCACACCCTCCATCACAGCCCTCTCTCTTCTCTCTCTCTTCTCCCTTCTCTCTTTCTTCTCTCGGACTCAGAATCTCTCCATTGTTGGTGTCGGAGCTTCTCAAACCAATGACACGAGACTTTACTGAGAAAATCTTTTTTTATTCAGACACAGAAAACATCCACAAACAAGAGCAACACAACTTTATTCTGACGCACGGACACTGGGGCTCAGGATGGTCCAGGTCTAGTCCCAGTCCCAGTCTCAGTCCCAGGTCTAATCCCAATCCCAGTCCCAGTGTCAGTCCCAGTCTTAGTCCCAGGTCTAGTCCCAGTGTCAGTCCCAGGTCTAGTCCCAGGTTTAGTCCCAGTGTCAGTCCCAGTCTTAGTCCCAGGTCTAGTCCCAGTCTCAGTCCTAGGTTTAGTCCCAGGTTTAGTCCCAGGTCTAGTCCCAGGTTTAGTCCCAGGTTTAGTCCCAGGTCTAGTCCCAGGTTTAGTCCCAGGTCTAGTCCCTGGTTTAGTCCTAGGTTTAGTCCCAGGTTTAGTCCCAGGTCTAGTCCCAGGTTTAGTCTTAGTCCCAGATTTAGTCCCAGTCCCAGTCTCAGTCCCAGTCTTCGTCCCAGGTCTAGTCCCAGTGTCAGTCCCAGGTCTAGTCCCAGGTTTAGTCTCAGTCTCAGTCCCATGTCTAGTCCCAGTCCCAGTCCCAGTGTCAGTCCCAGTCTTAGTCCCAGGTCTAGTCCCAGTCTCAGTCCTAGGTTTAGTCCCAGGTTTAGTCCCAGGTCTAGTCCCAGGTTTAGTCCAGGTCTAGTCCCTGGTTTTAGTCCTAGGTTTAGTCCCAGGTTTAGTCCCAGGTCTAGTCCCAGGTTTAGTCTTAGTCCCAGTCTCAGTCCCAGTCTTCGTCCCAGGTTTAGTCCCAGTCTTAGTCTTAGTCCTGGGCTCCTTGTGTGTATGTATTGTGTGTATTGTGTGTGTGTGTATATGTTTGTGTGTGTATTGTGTGTATATGTTTGTGTGTATATGTGTGTGTGTATTGTGTGTATATGTGTGTGAGTGTGTGTATGTGTGTGTGTGTGTATGTGTGTGTGTATTGTGTGTATATGTGTGTGTGTGTGTATATGTGTGTGTGTGTATGTGTGTGTGTATATGTGTGTGTGTGTGTATATGTGTGTGTGTATTGTGTGTGTGTATATGTGTGTGTGTGTATTGTGTGTATATGTGTGTGTGTATATGTGTGTGTATATATGTGTGTGATATGTGTGTGTGTATATGTGTGTGTGGTGTGTGCAGTGTGTGTGTATATGTGTATATATGTGTGTGTGTGTATTGTGTGTGTATAGTGTGTGTGTGTGTATTGTGTGTATATGTGTGTGTGTATTGTGTGTATATGTGTGTGTGTGTGAGTGTATGTGTATATGTGTGTGTGTGTATATGTGTGTGTATGTGTGTGTGTATTGTGTGTATATGTGTGTGTGTGTGTGTATGTGTGTGTGTGTGTGAGTGTATGTGTGTGTGTATATCTGTGTGTGTGTGTGTGTATTGTGTGTATATGTGTGTGTGTATATGTGTGTATTGTGTGTATATGTGTGTGTGTATTGTGTGTATATGTGTGTGTGTATATGTGTGTATTGTGTGTATATGTGTGTGTGTATTGTGTGTATATGTGTGTGTGTATTGTGTGTATATATGTGTGTGTTGTATATGTGTGTATTGTGTGTATATGTGTGTGTGTATTGTGTGTGTATATGTGTGTGTGTATTTCAGTTTTCTATACTTCTCTTGCAGCAAAAACACATTTAATACAACAGTGTGTTTGTTTACATTCAGCAGCGGCTCCGCTCTCTCCACGGACCATGTGGGGCCACCTCCCACACTGAGGAAACCATGTGGGGCCACTTCCCACACTGAGGACACCATGTGGGGCCACCTCCCACACTGAGGACACCATGTGGGGCCACCTCCCACACTGAGGAAACCATGTGGGAACACCTCCCACACTGAGGACACCATGTGGGGCCACCTCCCACACTGAGGAAACCATGTGGGAACACCTCCCACACTGAGGACACCATGTGGGGCCACCTCCCACACTGAGGACACCATGTGGGGCCACCTCCCACACTGAGGAAACCATGTGGGAACACCTCCCACACTGAGGACACCATGTGGGGCCACCATGACAAGACTCTGTAATGGGTCGTTCTGGTCATTTAAAGCTGCTCTCTGTAACTTCCCTGGAGGTGTGCAGCTGGTACTGTCCACACACACACAGTCAGTGTTGTCGGGAGAGAAAACGATGGTAATGGTAGGCAGAGAGCAGAGCGGCGCGGCAGGACTGAATAGTTAGAGACATTCAGGGTCAATGTGGACGGACTTTACCAGGATCAGGCAGCTCTAAACCAGAGCCTGGGTCTCTCTGGTCTCTCTCTGGTCTCTTTCTGGTCTCACTCTGGTCTCTCTCTGGTCTCTCTCTGGTCTCTCTCTGGTCTCTCTCTGGTCTCTCTCTGGTCTCTCTGGTCTCTCTCTGGTCTCTCTCTGGTCTCTCTCTGGTCTCTCTCTGGTCTCTCTCTGGTCTCTCTCTGGTCTCACTCTGGTCTCTCTGGTCTCTCTGTGGTCTCTCCCTGGTCTCTCTCTGGTCTCTCTCGTTTCTCTGGACACAACTTTATAAAACGAAATAGGAAAAAAGCTGGTAATCAATTCAATCCCATTAGATGCTTCTGTCGGCTGAGGAGCACAGGGACTGGCCTCCTGCTGGGTCTCTGAGGAGCACAGGGACTGGACTCCTGCTGGGACTCTGAGGAGCACAGGGACTGGCCTCCATGCTGGGACTCTGAGGAGCACAGGGACTGGCCTCCTGCTGGGACTCTGAGGAGCACAGGGACTGGCCTCCTGCTGGGACTCTGAGGAGCACAGGGACTGGCCTCCTGCTGGGACTCTGAGGAGCACAGGGACTGGCCTCCTGCTGGGACTCTGAGGAGCACAGGGACTGGACTCCTGCTGGGACTCTGAGGAGCACAGGGACTGGCCTCCTGCTGGGGACTCTGAGGAGCACAGGGACTGGCCTCCTGCTGGGACTCTGAGGAGCACAGGGACTGGCCTCCTGCTGGGACTCTGAGGAGCACAGGGACTGGACTCCTGCTGGGACTCTGAGGAGCACAGGGACTGGCCTCCTGCTGTGGACTCTGAGGAGCACAGGGAGTGGCCTCCTGCTGGGACTCTGAGGAGCACAGGGACTGGCCTCCTGCTGGGACTCTGAGGAGCACAGGGACTGGCCTCCTGCTGGGACTCTGAGGAGCACAGGGACTGGCCTCCTGCTGGGACTCTGAGGAGCACAGGGACTGGCCTCCTGCTGTGGACTCTGAGGAGCACAGGGAGTGGCCTCCTGCTGGGACTCTGAGGAGCACAGGGACTGGCCTCCTGCTGGGACTCTGAGGAGCACAGGGACTGGCCTCCTGCTGGGACTCTGAGGAGCACAGGGACTGGCCTCCTGCTGGGACTCTGAGGAGCTCAGGGCTGGGGCTCAGGCCTCAGCCGCAGCCCCAGCCCTGAGCCTGAGCCGATGGTTTCAGATAAGTCCAGAGCAGAGGGGCAGTGGTGATGGGAGACTGGTTGGAATCTCCCCCAGAGTTCCGCTTCCAATGGAGGATAAATGATGTATTATTCTGTGAGAGGGAGAAGTAGGGCAGACGCTTTACATATGTGTGTTTTAACGTAGACATCCTGGGACTTTCTGAGGTGGAGAGAGTGAGACTTGTGTAAATATAAATGAGTATTTTTAGAGTCGAAGCAGAAGGGTCTGAGGACAGTCGTTACTCCCTACGGAAGGAAAGGTCTCTCTCATTCACCAGTCTCTCTCTCTCTAGTATTTCTGTTGTCTGTCTCTGATTTCACTCTCTCTATTCTCTCTTCCTCTGGTCTCTCTCTGGTCTCTCTCTTGTCTCTCTCTAGTCTCTCTTTCTCTGGTCTCTCTCTAGTCTCTCTCTCTCTAGTCTCTCTTTCTCTGGTCTCTCTCTAGTCTCTCTCTCTCTAGTCTCTCTTTCTCTGGTCTCTCTCTCTGCTCTCTCTCTCTCTCTCTGGTCTCTCTCTCTGGTCTCTCTCTCTGGGCTCTCTCTAGTCTCTCTCTGTTCTCTCTCTGGTGTCTCAGTGCTCTCTCTCTCTCTGCTCTCTCTTTGGTCTCTCTCTGGTCTCTCTCTCTCTAGTCTCTCTCTCTCTGTTCTCTCTCTCTCTGCTCTCTCTCTCTCTGGTCTCTCTCTCACCTGAACTGATCACAGTGATACTCAGATGCCAGAGAACTTTCCTTCTGACTGTAATGGTGTCTGTCGTGTTTTCCTCGCGGTTACATGATGTGATCGGAGTAAAACGCACAAACACAAATCCTTACAACAGCGAGGTCAAAGGTCACCCACGTTATCGTGAGAGAGAGCCTCACTTCATTCTCTCATTCTGTCTCTTTTCATCCACTCACTTACAGCACGTCAACTGCAATGGATCTGATTCCTCCAGTGTCCTTGGCAGAGAGAGAGAGAGAGAGACAGAGAGAGAGAGAGAGACACAGAGAGAGACACACAGAGAGAGAGAGACAGAGAAAGAGAGAGAGAGACACAGAGAGAGACACAGAGAGAGAGAGACAGAGAGAGAGAGAGAGAGAGACAGAGAGAGACAGAGAGAGAGAGACAGAGAGACAGAGAGAGAGAGAGAGAGAGTGAGAGAGAGACAGAGAGAGAGAGAGAGAGAGAGGCAGAGAGAGAGAGAGAGAGAGAGAGACAGAGAGAGAGACAGAGAGAGAGAGAGAGAGAGAGACAGAGACACAGAGAGAGAGAGGCAGAGAGAGAGAGACAGAGAGAGAGAGAGAGAGAGAGAGGCAGAGAGAGAGAGACAGAGAGAGAGAGAGAGAGAGAGAGAGAGAGTGAGACCAGTGAGAGAGACAGACCAGAGAGAGAGACAGACCAGAGAGAGAGACAGACCAGAGAGAGAGACAGACCAGAGAGAGAGTGAGACCAGTGAGAGAGAGGGACCAGAGAGAGAGACAGACCAGAGAGAGAGACAGACTAGCGAGAGAGACCAGAGCGAGACAACAGAGAGCGTAAAGAGAGACTAGAAAGAGAGAGACCAGAGAGAGACCTTTGGACCAATAGAAACCATTACCACTCCATCTGTTTAGTCCTCACAGATAAATACTGTTTTGATTCAGGACGATACAAGAAGAATAGACTTGATCTGAAATGTCGGACAGAGGAGCAGAAGTTAAAGATCATTTCTCTGCCTCTGCTGAAGACGGGTTTAAGCAGCAACACACTCCACAAGTTGGACGAGACGAGAAAGAAAACACATTTTTTCAGGACTTGGCAAAAAAAACCGTGTGAGATCATCCATTCTGCAAAAACAATCAATGAGTGAGGTCTCTCTCCTGCACAGGCTCTCTCTGGGTCTGAAGAGGACTCTCTCTGGGTCTGAAGAAGACTCTCTCTGGGTCTGAAGAGGACTCACTCTGGGTCTGAAGAGGACTCTCTCTGGGTCTGAAGAGGACTCTCTCTGGGTCTGAAGAGGACTCTCTCTGGGTCTGAAGAGGACTCACTCTGGGTCTGAAGAGGACTCACTCTGGGTCTGAAGAGGACTCTCTCTGGGTCTGAAGAGGACTCTCTCTGGGTCTGAAGAGGACTCTCTCTCTGGGTCTGAAGAGGACTCTCTCTGGGTCTGAAGAGGACTCTCTCTGGGTCTGAAGAGGACTCTCTCTGGGTCTGAAGAGGACTCTCTCTGGGTCTGAAGAGGACTCTCTCTCTGGGTCTGAAGAGGACTCTCTCTGGGTCTGAAGAGGACTCTCTCTGGGTCTGAAGAGGACTCTCTCTGGGTCTGAAGAGGACTCTCTCTGGTCTGAAGAGACTCTCTCTGGGTCTGAAGAGGACTCTCTCTGGGTCTGAAGAGGACTCTCTCTGGGTCTGAAGAGGACTCTCTCTGGGTCTGAAGAGGACTCTCTCTGGGTCTGAAGAGGACTCTCTCTGGGTCTGAAGAGGACTCTCTCTGGGTCTGAAGAGGACTCTCTCTGGGTCTGAAGAGGACTCTCCTGGTCTCTGGGTCTGAAGAGGACTCTCTCTGGTCTGAAAGGACTCTCTGGGTCTGAAGAGGACTCTCTCTGGGTCTGAAGAGGACTCTCTCTGGGTCTGAAGAGGACTCTCTCTGGGTCTGAAGAGGACTCTCTCTGGGTCTGAAGAGGACTCTCTCTGGGTCTGAAGAGGACTCTCTCTGGGTCTGAAGAGGACTCTCTCTGGGTCTGAAGAGGACTCTCTCTGGGTCTGAAGAGGACTCTCTCTGGGTCTGAAGAGGACTCTCTCTGGGTCTGAAGAGGACTCTCTCTGGGTCTGAAGAGGACTCTCTCTGGGTCTGAAGAGGACTCTCTCTGGGTCTGAAGAAGGACTCTCTCTGGGTCTGAAGAGGACTCTCTCTGGGTCTGAAGAGGACTCTCTCTGGGTCTGAAGAGGACTCTCTGGTCTGAAGAGTCCCGGCTCTCTCCTGGGTCTGAAGAGGACTCTCTCTGGGTCTGAAGAGGACTCTCTCTGGGTCTGAAGAGGACTCTCTCTGGGTCTGAAGAGGACTCTCTCTGGGTCTGAAGAGGACTCTCTCTGGGTCTGAAGAGGACTCTCTCTGGGTCTGAAGAGGACTCTCTCTGGGTCTGAAGACTCCTCGGGTCTGAGAGACTCTCTCTGGGTCTGAAGAGGACTCTCTCTGGGACTCTGAAGAGGACTCTCTCTGGGTCTGAAGAGGACTCTCTCTGGGTCTGAAGAGGACTCTCTCTGGGTCTGAAGAGGACTCTCTCTGGGTCTGAAGAGGACTCTCTCTGGGTCTGAAGAGGACTCTCTCTGGGTCTGAAGAGGACTCTCTCTGGGTCTGAAGAAGACTCTCTCTGGGTCTGAAGAGGACTCTCTCTGGGTCTGAAGAGGACTCTCTCTGGGTCTGAAGAGGACTCTCTCTGGGTCTGAAGAAGACTCTCTCTGGGTCTGAAGAAGACTCTCTCTGGGTCTGAAGAAGACTCTCTCTGGGTCTGAAGAAGACTCTCTCTGGGTCTGAAGAAGACTCTCTCGGGTCTGAAGAAGACTCTCTCTGGGTCTGAAGAGGACTCACTCTGGGTCTGAAGAAGACTCTCTGGTCTGAAGAGGACTCTCTCTGGGTCTGAAGAGGACTCTCTCTGGGTCTGAAGAGGACTCTCTCTGGGTCTGAAGAGGACTCTCTCTGGGTCTGAAGAGGACTCTCTCTGGGTCTGAAGAGGACTCTCTCTGGGTCTGAAGAGGACTCTCTCTGGGTCTGAAGAGGACTCTCTCTGGGTCTGAAGAGGACTCTCTCTGGGTCTGAAGAGGACTCTCTCTGGGTCTGAAGAGGACTCTCTCTGGGTCTGAAGAGGACTCTCTCTGGGTCTGAAGAGGACTCTCTCTGGGTCTGAAGAGGACTCTCTCTGGGTCTGAAGAGGACTCTCTCTGGGTCTGAAGAGGACTCTCTCTGGGTCTGAAGAGGACTCTCTCTGGGTCTGAAGAGGACTCTCTCTGGGTCTGAAGAGGACTCTCTCTGGGTCTGAAGAGGACTCTCTCTGGGTCTGAAGAGGACTCTCTCTGGGTCTGAAGACTCTCTCTGGACTCTCTCTGGGTCTGAAGAGGACTCTCTCTCTGGGTCTGAAGAGGACTCTCTCTGGGTCTGAAGAGGACTCTCTCTGGGTCTGAAGAGGACTCTCTCTGGGTCTGAAGAGGACTCTCTCTCTGGGTCTGAAGAGGACTCTCTCTCTGGGTCTGAAGAGGACTCTCTCTCTGGGTCTGAAGAGGACTCTCTCTCTGGGTCTGAAGAGGACTCTCTCTCTGGGTCTGAAGAGGACTCTCTCTGGGTCTGAAGAGGACTCTCTCTGGGTCTGAAGAGGACTCTCTCTCTGGGTCTGAAGAGGACTCTCTCTGGGTCTGAAGAGGACTCTCTCTGGGTCTGAAGAGGACTCTCTCTGGGTCTGAAGAGGACTCTCTCTGGGTCTGAAGAGGACTCTCTCTCTGGGTCTGAAGAGGACTCTCTCTCTGGGTCTGAAGAGGACTCTCTCTGGGTCTGAAGAGGACTCTCTCTGGGTCTGAAGAGGACTCTCTCTCTGGGTCTGAAGAGGACTCTCTCTGGGTCTGAAGAGGACTCTCTCTCTGGGTCTGAAGAGGACTCTCTCTCTGGGTCTGAAGAGGACTCTCTCTGGGTCTGAAGAGGACTCTCTCTGGGTCTGAAGAGGACTCTCTCTGGGTCTGAAGAGGACTCTCTCTGGTCTGAAGAGGACTCTCTCTGGGTCTGAAGAGGACTCTCTCTCTGGGTCTGAAGAGGACTCTCTCTGGGTCTGAAGAGGACTCTCTCTCTGGTCTGAAGAGGACTCTCTCTCTGGGTCTGAAGAGGACTCTCTCTGGGTCTGAAGAGGACTCTCTCTGGGTCTGAAGAGGACTCTCTCTCTGGGTCTGAAGAGGACTCTCTGGGTCTGAAGAGGACTCTCTCTGGGTCTGAAGAGGACTCTCTCTCTGGGTCTGAAGAGGACTCTCTCTGGGTCTGAAGAGGACTCTCTCTGGGTCTGAAGAGGACTCTCTCTGGGTCTGAAGAGGACTCTCTCTGGGTCTGAAGAGGACTCTCTCTGGGTCTGAAGAGGACTCTCTCTGGGTCACACATATTCACTGGTCAGAGGTGATGTCACACTAAAGGTACAGTCATTCTGAGGACTCATGGTGTCGTGTCGGGACTCATGGTGTCGTGTCGGGACTCATGGTGTCGTGTCGGGACTCTCTGCTTCACTTCTATCTCTGCACCATTTCAAGTTTACATGTTGGTTTGGTGACATCACAGTCAAAGAAAGGAGACCAGAGAGAGAGCAGAGAGAGACCAGAGAGACCAGAGAGAGACCAGAGAGACCAGAGAGAGACCAGAGAGAGACCAGAGAGAGACCAGAGAGAGAGCAGAGAGGGAGCAGAGAGACCAGAGAGAGACCAGAGAGAGACCAGAGAGAGACCAGAGAGAGACCAGAGAGGGAGCAGAGAGAGACCAGAGAGAGACCAGAGAGAGACCAGAGAGAGACCAGAGAGGGAGCAGAGAGAGACCAGAGAGAGACCAGAGAGAGACCAGAGAGAGACCAGAGAGAGACCAGAGAGAGACCAGAGAGAGACCAGAGAGAGACCAGAGAGAGAGACTAGAGAGAGACCAGAGAGACCAGAGAGAGACCAGAGAGAGAGACCAGAGAGAGAGCAGAGAGGGAGCAGAGAGAGACCAGAGAGAGAGACCAGAGAGCAGAGACTGTGGAAGAGAGACCGTGTGGGAGAGAGACCTGTGGAAGAGACTTTTAGAGAAACCCCGGGAGAGAGACTGTGAGAGAGTCCCCCCCTGTGAGAGAGACCCTGGAGAGAGGACCTGGTGAAAAGAGACCGTGAAGAGTCCCCCCTGTGAGAGAGACTGTGAGAGAACAGTTGAGAGGGGTCCCTTAGAAAAGACCCTGTGGTAAGAGAACCAGTGAGAGAAGAACCCCTGGAGAAGAGACCTGGTGAAAGAGAGACTGTGAAGAGAGACTGTAAGAGAGTCCCCTGTGAGAGAGACCTGTTGAGAGAGAACTGTGAGTAGACTTTTGGTGCAGAGGAGACTGTGGGAGAGAGACTTGAGAGAACCTGTGGAGAAGATATTGTGAGTGGAGAACTGTGAGAGTCCTGTTGAGAGAGACCTGTGGAGAAACGTTGAAAGAGAGACCGAGGAGAGAGACCTGGGAGAGAGAGAAGGGTGGAGAGAGACCGTGAGAAGACTGTGAGAAGAGAATGGATAGAGATTTTGAATAGAGAACTGTGCGAGTCCTGTGAGAGAAGTACTGTTGAGAGAACTGTTTGAGAGAGACCCGTGGAGAGAGACTGTGAGAAAAAGAAAACCTGTTGAAAAAGTCCCCTTGTGATAGAGACTGTAGAGAGGACCGTGGAGAGGAGACCTGTGAATGAAGGAACCGGTGAGATAGATAAACCTGAAAGAGACCGTGAGAAGAGACCTGTGAGAGACCCCCCTGGGTGAGAGAGTCTGTGAGAGAGAACTCTCTCACAGTCTCTCTCACAGTCTCTCTCACAGTCTCTCTCAGAGTCTCGCTCACAGTCTCTCTCACAGTCTCTCGCACAGACTCTCTCACAGTCTCTCTCACAGTCTCTCTCACAGGTCTCTCTCACAGTCTCTCTCACAGTCTCTCTCACAGTCTCTCTCACAGTCTCTCTCACAGTCTCTCACAGTCTCGCTCACAGTCTCTCTCACAGTCTCTCTCACAGTCTCTCTCACGGTCTCTCTCACAGTCTCTCTCACAGTCTCTCTCACAGTCTCTCTCACAGTCTCTCTCACAGTCTCTCTCACAGTCTCTCTCACAGTCTCTCTCACAGTCTCTCTCACAGTCTCTCTCACAGTCTCTCTCACAGTCTCTCTCACGGTCTCTCTCACAGTCTCTCTCACAGTCTCTCTCACAGTCTCTCTCACAGTCTCTCTCACAGTCTCTCTCACAGTCTCTCTCACAGACTCTCACAGTCTCTCTCACGGTCTCTCTCACAGTCTCTCTCACAGTCTCTCTCACAGTCTCTCTCACAGTCTCTCTCACAGTCTCTCTCACAGTCTCTCTCACGGTCTCTCTCACAGTCTCTCTCACAGTCTCTCTCACAGTCTCTCTCACAGTCTCTCTCACAGTCTCTCTCACAGTCTCTCTCACAGTCTCTCTCACAGTCTCTCTCACAGTCTCTCTCACAGTCTCTCTCACAGTCTCTCTCACAGTCTCTCTCACAGTCTCTCTCACAGTCTCTCTCACAGTCTCTCTCACAGTCTCTCTCACAGTCTCTCTCACAGTCTCTCTCACAGACTCTCTCACAGTCTCTCTCACAGTCTCTCTCACAGTCTCTCTCACAGTCTCTCTCACAGTCTCTCTCACAGTCTCTCTCACAGTCTCTCTCACAGTCTCTCTCACAGTCTCTCTCACAGTCTCTCTCACAGTCTCTCTCACAGTCTCTCTCACAGTCTCTCTCACAGTCTCTCTCACAGTCTCTCTCACAGTCTCTCTCACAGTCTCTCTCACAGTCTCTCTCACAGTCTCTCTCACAGTCTCTCTCACGGTCTCTCTCACAGTCTCTCTCACAGGTCTCTCTCACAGTCTCTCTCACAGTCTCTCTCACAGTCTCTCTCACAGTCTCTCTCACAGTCTCTCTCACAGTCTCTCTCACAGTCTCTCTCACGGTCTCTCTCACAGTCTCTCTCACAGTCTCTCTCACAGTCTCTCTCACAGTCTCTCTCACAGTCTCTCTCACAGTCTCTCTCACAGTCTCTCTCACAGTCTCTCTCACAGTCTCTCTCACAGTCTCTCTCACAGTCTCTCTCACAGTCTCTCTCACAGTCTCTCTCACAGTCTCTCTCACAGTCTCTCTCACAGTCTCTCTCACAGTCTCTCTCACAGTCTCTCTCACAGTCTCTCTCACAGTCTCTCTCACAGTCTCTCTCACAGTCTCTCTCACAGTCTCTCTCACAGTCTCTCTCACAGTCTCTCTCACAGTCTCTCTCACAGTCTCTCTCACAGTCTCTCTCACAGTCTCTCTCACAGTCTCTCTCACAGTCTCTCTCACAGTCTCTCTCACAGTCTCTCTCACAGTCTCTCTCACAGTCTCTCTCACAGTCTCTCTCACAGTCTCTCTCACAGTCTCTCACAGTCTCTCTCACGGTCTCTCTCACAGTCTCTCTCACAGTCTCTCTCACAGTCTCTCTCACAGTCTCTCTCACAGTCTCTCTCACAGTCTCTCTCACAGTCTCTCTCACAGTCTCTCTCACAGTCTCTCTCACGGTCTCTCTCACAGTCTCTCTCACAGTCTCTCTCACGGTCTCTCTCACAGTCTCTCTCACAGTCTCTCTCACAGTCTCTCTCACAGACTCTCACAGTCTCTCACAGTCTCTCTCACAGTCTCTCTCACAGTCTCTCTCACGGTCTCTCTCACAGTCTCTCACAGTCTCTCTCACGGTCTCTCTCACAGTCTCTCTCACAGTCTCTCTCACAGTCTCTCTCACAGTCTCTCTCACAGTCTCTCTCACGGTCTCTCTCACAGACTCTCACAGTCTCTCTCACGGTCTCTCTCACAGTCTCTCTCACAGTCTCTCTCACAGTCTCTCTCACAGTCTCTCTCACAGTCTCTCTCACAGTCTCTCTCACAGTCTCTCTCACAGTCTCTCTCACAGTCTCTCTCACAGTCTCTCTCACAGTCTCTCTCACGGTCTCTCTCACAGTCTCTCTCACAGTCTCTCTCACAGTCTCTCTCACGGTCTCTCTCACAGTCTCTCTCACAGTCTCTCTCACAGTCTCTCTCACGGTCTCTCTCACAGTCTCTCTCACAGTCTCTCTCACAGTCTCTCTCACAGTCTCTCTCACAGTCTCTCTCACAGTCTCTCTCACAGACTCTCTCACAGTCTCTCTCACAGACTCTCACAGTCTCTCTCACGGTCTCTCTCACAGTCTCTCTCACAGTCTCTCTCACAGTCTCTCTCACAGACTCTCACAGTCTCTCTCACAGTCTCTCTCACAGTCTCTCTCACAGTCTCTCTCACGGTCTCTCTCACGGTCTCTCTCACAGTCTCTCTCACAGTCTCTCTCACAGACTCTCTCACAGTCTCTCTCACAGTCTCTCTCACAGTCTCTCTCACAGTCTCTCTTCACAGTCTCTCTCACAGTCTCTCTCACGGTCTCTCACAGTCTCTCTCACAGTCTCTCTCACACGTCTCTCTCACAGGTCCTCTCACAGTCTCTCTCACAGTCTCTCTCACAGACTCTCTCACAGTCTCTCTCACAGGTCTCTCTCACAGTCTCTCTCACAGTCTCTCTCACAGTCTCTCTCACAGTCTCTCTCACAGACTCTCTCACAGACTCTCACAGTCTCTCTCACAGTCTCTCTCACGGTCTCTCTCACAGTCTCTCTCACAGTCTCTCTCACGGTCCTCTCACAGTCTCTCTCACGGTCTCTCTCACAGTCTCTCTCACAGTCTCTCTCACAGTCTCTCTCACAGTCTCTCTCACAGACTCTCTCACAGACTCTCACAGTCTCTCTCACAGTCTCTCTCACGGTCTCTCTCACAGTCTCTCTCACAGTCTCTCTCACAGTCTCTCTCACAGTCTCTCTCACAGTCTCTCTCACAGTCTCTCTCACAAGTCTCTCTCACAGTCTCTCTCACAGTCTCTCTCACGGTCTCTCTCACAGTCTCTCTCACGGTCTCTCTCACGGTCTCTCTCACAGTCTCTCTCACAGTCTCTCTCACGGTCTCTCTCACAGTCTCTCTCACAGTCTCTCTCACAGTCTCTCTCACAGTCTCTCTCACAGTCTCTCTCACACGTCTCTCTCACAGACTCTCTCTCTCTCACAGTCTCTCTCACAGGTCTCTCTCACGGTCTCTCTCACGGTCTCTCTCACAGTCTCTCTCACAGTCTCTCTCACGGTCTCTCTCACGGTCTCTCTCACCGTCTCTCTCACGTCTCTCTCACAGTCTCTCTCACAGTCTCTCTCACAGTCTCTCTCACAGTCTCTCTCACAGTCTCTCTCACAGTCTCTCTCACAGTCTCTCTCACAGTCTCTCTCACGGATCTCTCTCACAGTCTCTCTCACAGTCTCTCTCACAGGTCTCTCTCACAGTCTCTCTCA